AGTGTACGTGCTTCTAGGGGCTTGGGAAACGGCGCCTTGAGTAAAACGTACACTGGGATTTGAACCAAGTGGGATCGGTCAACTAGAAAGCTAAAAACGGATCTACAGGAGCATGAGGGAAATCTGAATAGGAGGCTTGAGCAAGGAGTAACTGATCGGAAGAGAGAGGGGCAAGGTGAACAACAAGTGTGATGAGGCCATACTAAACTTGACAAAAAACCTTTTGAAGAGTGAAATATCAACTAGTCAGAAGTTGTGATAGGGCGGTATAAATTATGGCCAAAGGCTTGATTTTACTTGTAACTTGGTGCTGAGAATGGCAAGATTCACTTATGATGCCGAATACGATGCCGGCAAAACTTCTGAGAATGTACCAAATCCACGATCTGACGCTGGGAATTATGATAACTACGATGGCAGAGGACTTTTGTCAAGGTGTGTCCAGTTAAGTCGCTCTGACAACAAGACTAAATTGCGCAAACGAGATCAACCAGCTTCTTGTGTTACTGCCTACTTTACATAATCCCTCATTTTTTCCTAATTAATCAAGTATAAATTATCAGGCTCATCGTTTTTAGTAGAATCAATTATAGAAGCAGCGTGATTCCATCTTTTAATATGATACTTTGATTTCATCTAGTTCTTTCGTAAAGTTATTTGCTCTGAATTGCTTAGCTTTAGTAGGTTTTTAAGATAGCAGATGATTTTGATGGACCTTTTTCATTACACATATGATCACATTTATTTAATGTTACAAATGTCTTTTATTAGGCTTGATGGGTGGAAAATTGGCCTTGCATGGTGAAATAACAAGAAGAAGCCAGTATATCTGAATCTTTGTAGTCATGTCGTTATCGTGAGAACTAGAAAAAGAAATTTTCCTGAAATGCCTTTAATGAGTTATTAAATGAATGTTTGATAGTTCGCTCATCTGAGTAAAAATAAAATAAAAACAAATAGTTGGGCTAACTTAAAATTTGATAAACATTAGGGCATAAAATTAATTTGTTTGCCCTCTGAATAAAGCCATCACATTAGATATTTTTATTTAGATTATTACCGGATGATGCTCAATAAAATGCCTTTGTTCTTTCAACAAAAATTCTAAACTACATGACAATGACAAATGTTTTTGATTTCATGCTATAGAGTTTGGCATGGGTAACAATATCTGATAAAAATTAAAATAGTTCTAAGCAATATTTTGTTCTCAATTTTGTTCACTTAATATATATATATATATATATATCACTCAATATATATCATGGTGTGCAAGCCAGCTATTGATACGACTTTTATAAAAATTTTAAGCCCTCTTGAAATGCAGCTTTTTTTTACTAAAGAATTATTGTATATTATTTTCTTATATAAATAGAATTTCGAGATTTCCAGTAAATCAATTATATGAGGTTTATTCACCCTTCATCACCTTAAACGAAATAGGGTGAATATACCTAATATATTTCACAATATGTTGTTACCAAATATACAGTTTTAAGTTGTTACCACAATCTCCTACTTTTCCATTTCATACATCTGCCTTATCTCGTGCTATCACACATTAAACAGATGCTGCCTAGCCAGCATCAAACTCAATCCTCACGACAACTTAGTTCCAGCCTGCTAGCTTTGCATGTTGCCTCCAACTCCTTGAGTGATGTAGACTCACCTGGGTTTCCGCCAATCAGGCCGCCTGGGGCTCTCGGTATCCCACGTCCAAACCTCACCTCCGGTGCTGGCAATGTCTCATCTGTCGTCTCTGGACCTGGCGTTGCAGCCAGCCAGACGGCTATTGACTTACTCAAAGATGCAGACTTTGCAGGCCGCCTGGCTACCAGACTGGCGCCACCAGTCTCCTCGCTGTCGCGTCGTGGAGAGCAAGGCTGGCCAGCAGCGCTTGCCAGTTCGACCGGGTCACTACCAACGGGCCAGACTTCGGCAACGTGTCAGTCCTCTGAACAGTCAGATGGAAAGTTCGAACATGAGGCAGCAACCCACCTACGGACGCTGCTGCGACTGGTCACAAATCTGATCACTGTCAAGTG